ATAACTCAGAAAGGTCGCCAAGATGGAACTACCACCTGAGCATACTTCTAATACTCTTATGATTACTAAATTAACAAGCTCTGTGAAAAAATGAAAGATAATATTAAAATAAATCTTTTAGTAGTCCTTTCATGCATCTTTTTCATGTGGCCACTCAATAACAAGGACACCCAATCAGAAAGTCAATCACTAAAAACAACCGTCTGCCTCCGAAAATTTATAGACTGAACCACAAACAATAAATAAATATCCCTTAATTCACATAGAGAACTTTCACTAAATGCTTGGTCCAATATATCTGCACTCATGTCCCCTCATCAAGTATATTTATGTGTCACTGCCTACTAATCAGGGTATTTTTACTCTTCTCCAGGTCAATTCTTATTTGTGCATACAGGCCTCTCTTTAAAAGCAAAGGGCCTCTGCTCAGCAAAGGCACCCAATAGTTTAAATTCATCTCTTCCCTCTGGGAATTTCAAGTGTTTGTTCATTTTAGCATTTATCTTCCATAAAGCTGGCTGGTTTTAAACTAATTCCAAAGTACAGTCATTGTTAGCCTTGCCACACAGTGTGCCTAAGTCATAACTATTGTTATAAACTTAATTCTTCAATATTTTCATTAAAAGACTAGCCCTTTGGGGATGACCATTACTTAAAAGCTGAGTTTCAGAAAATTTACAGAACCTTTAAAAATGTTTACCCAATACTAACAATTTCTACAAACTTAAAAAGCTCTTTTGATCCACCATTTAAAACCATCTACTTGATTATAAACTAAATCCTCAAGAAGAATAACTGCCTTTGACACATTTTAATATATATAACTGATATTTTCTTTTAACCAGCTAGTCGCAGTAGGCAGGCAATGCGGGAAAATTATTACTCACCTTACATTAACTATAGTTTATCCTAACTCTTAGTTAAAGTGAATGGGATAAGCAATGACAGCCCTCCCTAAGTAGGGAAATATTATCTATTTATATATTTATGTAATACATATTTATTTATTATTTGTTTCTATTATTTTCTGTATATTATTGAAAGGAAAGGAATTTGAAGTTACAAAATTTCTATTGGAACTTTGCATTACTGGAGTTTTAGTATTATTTTAAACTGCCCATCATGAAAATCTGATTTATCCTTTAAGTACCTTTGGTTATGGCTATTCAATCATGATATGAATCAGCAAATTTGCTACTCCGTTAAATTCCTGCTTTTAAGACTACCAAAACTTGCCTAGTTTTTCTCTCACACCTCTATCAGAGGAGATGGCAGAAACTATTATACCGATGTTTTGAAAAGTTTCAAAACCTGGACAATTATTCATCAGGATTATTTCTTGAAAGACATTCGGTAGACATTTTCAATGATTACTTCCCATTCCAGATGCCCCTGCCCCTCATATCCTACGCTAAACTAGCAATCAAAGCTTAATAAGCACCCACTGTGTGCAAAGAGAAAGATTATACTAAGCAAAGACCATAAGGCTCGGCCTCATTTTATTCGTGCATAAATACACAGCAGTCGTGATTTATTCTCACAACTTTGTAGAGACGTGAGTTGCATCCACATGGATGAATCCACAGCATTCATTTGGAAATGGCTTTCTGGGGTTAATTCACAGGTTCTCCATATTAGACAGCCCCGATGGGACATCACGCGGTCCTTTCACCTTCCAGCCCACGCAGGACAACTCGTGGGCACCAGCCACACCTTCTGCAGGTGGCTGGATTGCCAGAGGCAAATGAGCCCGACCCATCTCCCCACGCAGGAACTCCGGACAGGAGTATGTAAAAGCGTGCAAGGACTTCTGAGAATTCAAGGACTTGTTGAAAGGCCCCAGGGTCTCGGGCAGGAAGGGAAAGCAGCCAGTGACCCCTCCCCCGCGGCCACCGAGTCCCCCGCGCCCCAGGCGCTGCGCAGGCCGCCGCCACGGATCCCGGGCGCAGCCGGCGCACCTCGGGCCTAGCACCATTGGAAAGGCAAATCTCAGAGCCGGGGCACATTTAAATGCCCGGCCACGGCCCCGGGAGATTGCTCTCCAGCAGACACAGCCGCAGGGGCCTCCGGGGCCGCCCGGCCTGAGGCGTTGGGTGCGGCCCGCGGGCGTCCCCGGGACCTAAGCCCGCAGCGCCCCGGCGTCCGCGCCAGGCCAGAGCAGGGACGGGTGGCCAGGGCCCCCAGGCCAGCGTCCCCGGCCCGGCCGCGGGCAAAGGAGGGCTAGAGCCGCGTCCTCCGCCCGCGGCCGCCGGCTCCCGCCCCCTCCCGACGCACCACACCTAGCAACCCGCGCTGACAGGACGCAGTGGCGGCGGCGGCGGCGGGAGGAGGAAGCGGAATGGCTGCCGCGGTGGAGCCACCCCCGCCCCCCCCCCGCTCCCACCTCCCAGCGGCTGCAGCCGCCGCGGAGCCCTGACAGCTCGAGCCCGGGCGGAAGCAGCGGGCGGCGTGCAGCGCCCGCCCCCCCCAACGCCGCCCCCCGGCGCCTCGGGCCGCCCCGACCACCGGGCCAACTAACTCCGCGCCCCTGCCCAGCGCCAACCGCCCGGCCCAGCCGCGCCCTCCGCCCCGCGCCCCCTCCCCGCCGCCCGGTCCCGCCGCCGCATCTCCCCGCCGCCCGGTCCCTCCTCCCGCCGCCCCCGCCGCGGCGCACCCCCCACTCCCACCACTTCGCCGCCGGCGCGCACGCCCCTCGGAATCCCCCCCGCCCGGCCGCCCGCCGGCCCCGGCACCTCGGGGCGCCCGCCCCCTCCCCCACCCCGGCCCGCTCCCCGCCCCCCAGGCACCTCGCGCCTCCGCATCCCGTCACCCCCACGCCCGGGGCTTGCACACACCCTCCCGCCCCGCCGCCGCCTGCCTCCCTCCCGGCCACCCCTGGCCATTCTGGGGTTCTCGCCTGGGCAGGAGTTTCCGCGCGCCCGGCACCCCCGCCCACCCCCGGGCCATTTACCGATGTGGTTGTCCTCGATGTGCTCGATGAGGTCGGCCAGGGTGGGGAAGTGGAGTCCGCAGCCCCCGAATCGGCAGGTATTGGAGAAGAAGGAGGCGGCGGCGATGCCTGTCATGGTGCTACATCGAGAGCCCCCCTGGTGTCGGCTCTGCGAGCGCCGGGCCGGCGGGCGGAGGGAGGGAGGGAGGGAGGCAGGGTGGGGTGAGGAGAGGAGGGGCTGGGGGAGGGGGAGAGAGGCGGGGTGAGGGGAGCGGAGAGAACGGGACGGAGGGAGAGGGGGCTAGAGCGATGAAGGAGAGCGAGGAGAGACCGGGAGGCAGAGGGGAGGCGGTGGCGGCGGCGGCGGCGTCGGGAGCGGCTGGGGGAGGGTGGGGGTGGGGGGTGAGGCCGCCGCAGCTGGGAGGAGGGACCAGGGCGCGCGGCAACAGCTGTGCGGCCCCAACCTCGGCTCCTGGACCGAGGCCTCACCTGCGAGCTCCTGCCACCAACTTTATCTCTGTCGGCCTGCCCTTCACAGTTGGTAATACATGCAGTCTGTTTGGAGCTTCCCTGGTTATGTATATTACCTTCTTGATATATACACATCTATTAATTACACATGCATCCCGCGATGAGAACTCAGGGAGTTACCCAGGCCCCACTCGGGGGCATTTGTTTGCACTTGGCCACCTGTCTAGATGTGACACTGACATTCACAGGGGACCCAGGAAAGGTAATTGTGTGCACCTTACTCTTTAAACCTTTTTTTTTTTTTAAGTCATTTTCTCTGGAGGTTTGTACTAACTAATTGATTTTAATGAAATTTCCCTCTAGGCCAAAAGAAAATCTTAGCTTTATTTAAATTTCAAAATAGATTTCTTGATTGTCAAGTGCATTTGCCCGTGTTTTACATATGTATCACGTTTGTTATACTCCCTGCTCCTTTTGGGAAAACAAAAACTAAAATGATTTCATTTCCCCAAATTACAGCACCCCACTGCCCTATCTCAGGTCTGGGAATTGACTCATCCATCTCTCTGAGAGCAAGATTATCAGCAGAAAGGACAGTGCATTGGTTAAGGCTAGGAGTAAAAACAAGGTCAAGGGACATATTTACTCTTCATTTAAAAGAGAAAAGACTCCTACAATCAATCTTGATTACACATTTAAACCATAATGTTGACCAGTTAAACACTTAAGTTGAATTTGGTAGCATTTTGCTAAGAATCGGTTACTTTCTGGTCCCCAACCCCAACCCCAGCTACACTCATTTTTTTTTTTTTTAAAGATTTTATTTAGTTATTTGACAGAGAGCACAAGCAGGGGGGGAGTCGCAAGCAGGGGGGAGCGGCAGGGAGAGGGAGAAGCAGGCTCCCTGCTGAGCAGGTAGCCCAACTTGGAACTTTGGGATCAGGACCTGAGCCCGAAGGCAGAGGCTTAACCGACTGAGCCACCCAGGCACCCCACACTCATATTTTTACCTGCAAAGTGTGCGATCTCTGATAGCACTTTCCCAGGTGCCTAAGGAACACAGCACATTATTGGCAGTTTATGATCCAACAGTGCATTTTTTAATACAGGTATACTGAATTTAGCACTTTTCCTTAGGACAAATTTCACTTACCCTAGGTGCAGATACATACAGAAATAATATTCCCCTCTCCATAAACTATATTCATCCCCCATGTTGTTACTAAGATTGTTAATATTTTTCATTTGCATTTTTAGAGTGAAGGCAGGACAAAAGTTTTACAATCTGACAGAGATTGGGGATGCTTAGTTCCCTCATCCATGGCATTTCCCCTTTTTCTGTCTATTTCTTCTTGCCCGGCTCACAAGGAGACAGACTTGTGCTGAGATAAGAGTTGTGTTGGATGAGGCTGGGGCAGTTGTGTCATTGAAGTTCAGTTTGGTGCCAGGAATGGTTTCCTGGGCCCATTTGTGGGTGGGGGCAGGGCCTGGGTGGGCCTGATAATGAGCCAGCGACCCGGTTGGCTGGAGACTGGAGCCAGGGCCAGACAAGGGTCTAAAGAGCAGGAGTTAGAATTCTAGAATTTTGGCAGCTGGGCAGTGCATTCAGCTGCCCAGTCTGGGAAGGCCTTCAGCTGAGAGCAGGCAGAATATCTGGCAGCCACACGCTACCCCAAGTAACAGGACAGGGCAATGCAGTGCAAAAGCTTCAGCCCCAAGCTGGTGCCAAAACAGTTTCCCCCAGAGATAAGTGTTAGGCACCACCACCATGCAGTATCTAGGAATTATCAAGAGCTTTGGAGAAGTAGCAACTCCGTCCTCTGGAGAAAAAAAAACTGTCTACATGGAATTATTAACTCCAGGCAAGAGACTCAGAGACGGAAAGTGCCAGAAATGTGCAGGTAAGAGACAAGGAAGTAAGGGGACTGGGTTTCACTCGTGCACACGAGTGCACAAGTGATAGGCCAAACTTAATAGAGCTTTTTAATGAAATAAGCCAGAATAACATAAATCAAATTTTTAATTTTTAAGATTTAAATTTTTTTACCTTTTTTTACCTTTAAGATTTAATTTTTTTTTTTTTTACCTTTACCTTACCTTTTTACCTTTACCGTAATATTTTGTAAGGACTCATTTTATTCTCCACTCTAATTCTTATATGAACTGAAGCTCTGCCTTTGTGACATTCTGTTCATTTTTTTTTTAATCTGCACACTCTAGGCATTTCTGGCCTGTATATTAGATACATAATCATGGTCTTTTAGATTTGGGAAGATACTCTGGCTGTAGGAACCACTGATATTGTAGATGTGGTAAATAAATTGAGGCCAGGGTATGGAGTGTGTTCTCCCCAGGCCCACACAGCCAGGTTCCTCTCGGTATTCACAGTGCCTTCAGTCGGGCATCGGCAGACAATAAAAGAACAAAGGTATAGTAACCACAGGCAACTTTCTAAAAAATTACAGTAGCTTGCTTACCATCATGTTCTTACATTTAAAAGTATTTTTTTTAGGGGCGCCTGGCTGGCTTAGTTGGTAGAGCATGTGACTCTTGATCTCGGGGTTGTGAGTTCAAGCCCCGCATTGGGCCTCGAGCTTACTTAAAAAAATTTTTTTTTAATTTTTAAAAAATAAAAGTCTTTTTTAAGGGTGTCCCTTCAGATAGTGTCAACACGAGGCTATAAAAATATAGGGAATAAGCATTTCAGCCTATTATGTGCAAGAGAAAATGATGGCTGATATACCCCTACATTTACAAAAAACACTTGTCTGCCTGATTTGGGTAGTAAAAATATCTCAAAGGAAAGGGACAGTGAGGGAACCCAGAAGTCAGAAGGGTAGGATAGTGGCTATAGCCAGAAGCACTCCCTGGGCTTAAGACCCTTTTCTTGCAAACCATTTGCCTTTCCCCAGAGTACTGTGCCTCCCGATGTGTAGACGCAGACAAAGTATGGACATAGTGGCCCCATAGCTTGGTACTTAGCGTTACAAATGATTTGGGATCCAGTAGCAATCTCCCAAAATCCAGCATGGCTATTGACCATGGGCTGGTGCCCTGCCAGCCAAGTGTGAATCCATTGGTCTAATGGAGCCAGTCGAAGCCACCAGAGGATTTGGCTTCATGTAATTGGCCTCCACATACAGGGCTTGGTTAATTTAGGGATATTCTGATAAAACCTTGCACTTCCTGTGCCCAGCGTGGACATCTGTTAGCACTACAAGAGGATGTATATGAACACTGGATTCTGTTTTGGTTTTTGTTTGTTTGTTTTGTTTTTTTAATTTTTTATTTAAATTCAATTTAGGTAACATATACTGTATTTTTAGTTTCAGGGGTAGAATTTAGTGATTCATCAGTTGCATATAACAGCCAGTGCTCATTACATCAAGTGCCCTTCTTAATGTCCATCACCCAAGTACCCCATCCCCCCACCCAGCCCCCCTCCAGCAACCCTCAGTTTGTTTCCTACAGTTTAGAGTCCAATATGGTTTGCCTCCCTCTCTGTTTTCATCTTATTTTATTTTCCTTCCCTTCCCCAATGTTCATCTGTTTTTTTTCCTTAAATTCCTGGAATCCGTTTCGAGTTTAACTCTCCACACTGCCTTCAATTCTAGCTTTCTCAGGTTTTCTGGGCCAGGTCCCTCTTAAGTTGCTTTTCAGGTTTACTGGATATAAGCAGCTTGTAGTAAGTGCCGTGAAGCCTTCCTTTTACCACCACCACGACATAGACTGAGCAGATCAGGAACCCAGTCTTCTTCTGCTCATGCCATTCTATGGCCACTTATAAGAATGGCAGCTCTTGGGGCGCCTGGCTGGCTCAGTCGATGCGACCCTTGATCTCGGGATTGTGAATTGAAGCCCCACATTGGATGTAGACATTACTTAAAAATAAAATCTCAGGGCGCCTGGGTGGCTCGGTTGGTTAAGTGTCTGCCTTCAGCTCAGGTCATGATCCCAGATCCTCAGATCGAGCCCCGCTTCCGGCTCCCTGCTCAGTGGGAAGCCTGCTTCTCCCTCACCCGCTCCCTATGCTTGTGCCCTCCCTCCCCCTCTCTCTCATTCTGTCAAATAAATAAAATCTTTTATAAAAAAAAATAAAATCTTAAAAAAAAATGACAGCTCTTGAAGACACAGGCTGCCACTTCTGCCAACAGCAACCTTTGTCTTGACAGGATGTTTTCTTTAGGCTTCACCTGCCAAGGAAGATGATGTCTATTCCAGATTTTCTTGTTTAATATTTATGCAACCAAATCTTCAAGTTTTTTGTATTGATTTTACTCCAGCTCAGAAATGAATCAGATTTACCTTGCTCTTTGGTGATTAACTCTCTTTTTGGTCCCCAGTCTCATTCTGCCTAGATTTAAGTGTTGGCCTTAGAATGAGTAATAGGGGTTCTCTAGTTGGATGCCACCAGTGACCAGTCCTCATGGGTGTTGTCCCTTAGCCCTCTACCTGGCTGCTTCTGCCTCACTAACTATGTACATAGTTACGGCATTTCCATTTCCAGCTCCTTGCAGGATTTCTCCAGAACTAAATTAATGAAACATTCAACCAATGGCTGGAGTTCTAATTGAGCATCCTGGGTTTACTCCTGTACTACAGTCTGCCGTACTGCCCCCGGATGATAGCGCCAAATCCAAATCTGATGGGGTTTGGCCACCTAGCCCAAGCTTTCACTATGGCCATAAAAGCAGCCAGCCAATCACGATTTCATTCATTCCTTCAACATATTTTGATTGAACATCTATGCAAGCTCCTGCTACACAACCCCAGAAGGCATTACTTATATAGGCACTGCATGGACCGTGACCCCAGGATTTGTACATCCGCCTAGGCTGATCCACTGGGCAAGATATGAGGGATACAATTTGAATAAGACAGTACAGTCTCTCCTCCAATGAGGGAACACCAAATGCTTTGCAAGGTCCTCCTGAACCGGTTCTTAGTGCCTGCCGTGTCGGCTCAGTGCACTCTACATACTGCCCTCTTGGCTAAGGTGTCTGCCATTTCCCTTCTTTCCACCTTGGGCTCACTCAGGTGATCACTCTTGTTGCTCTTGACTGTAATCAGTCACTAAGGCACTACTGCTTGAGAAAAGATTGCACAGGCTTTTTGCCCAGGCATGTGTCCTTAGGCATACTGATGCTGACCCAACAATGCCCAGTGTTGAAGATTTTCTATCCCTTCCAAGCTGCTAGCATCTTTTTTGTCCTAGCTTTTTGAGGTTTTGTCAGCTCCCACTTGGCAATCCTTCTCCTCTAGGACTCAAACAAGTATCAAGGGAGACTGGGTAGAGGATCAAGTTGGAAACACTGCTCCGTGATCTCACCTTCCCACTAGAATCCCTCAGCACCAAGCCTCACCATCAGAATAGCTTTCTATTCAATGATCTTCATAATTGGATCTCTGCAGAATGCAGTACATATACTGGCAGTTCAAAATGAACCAAATTATCCTAGTTTTCAAAATGCACTCATTGTCCACCACAGGCCCCCTTGCCTTTACACATGTTTGTATAGCCTGCCGGAAACATTCTCCCCACTTCCACCCTCTTCCCACCAAATACACTTCAGCAGCTCAGCCTGTCACCTCCTGCAGGAAGCCTTCCCAGCATCCTGCCTCCTCTTTCATCCCGGCTAAGCTACATACTTATCTATGCTTCAGCCAGGCTCCCTCTGCATTAGATTTCTGACTATTGGCTTACTGATCTTTCTTCTCTAGACCAGTGGTTCCCAAACCTTTTTAATCAAGAACTCCATCAATTCAAATAAATAAATAAAACCTTTAAAAAAAAAAACAAGAACTCCATCAATAAAAAAAATTTAAACCTTGATCCCATAAATACTTATATTTATAAGTTATATACAGGCACTCCTATTCAAATATAGTATGTCTATTATAAAATAAATCAGACACTTTAAGAAGATAACTTAAAAAAAAAAAAAAAAGAAATGGAAGGTCTAATATCTTCGTTCCACATCCCAGAGTATGTCTGGCTCCCACCATGGGATGAATGCATTCTACCTAGGAGGCCACAAGTCCTAGTCTCCTTGAGAAAGGGCACTATCTTTCATCCTGCCTGCATGTAGTGTTCAGTACAAGCTGTATGGGGGTATAGCTCAGTACTGTGATAAGGCAATGCACTAAGATTTCAGTTTTCAGTGCTAAAGCAATTTCTAACAATGTATCACTGTTCTTCTCTTACATAGCATCAGGAAAAGATAGTGTTCAATCATCTCTCATCCTGGATAGATTACAACCATTATACTTTCCCATGATTGTGGCCCAACCTTTGATGAGACCTTTTTTTAGGTCTAGCGAAGTATCACTGCCCTGTGCCCCTAACAGGCACTTGTCTCATTGGTTTTGATGGCCCTGGTTTCCTAGTCACTGCTGATGCAGACAAAGCCATTCAACTCAACAAAGATAAGCAGGGAGGCACTGAGCCATGACATGAGATCTGACACTAGCTCTCCTTTCATTTGACTGACTAGGACACCTTTCCCATTCACAGATGTTCAAGTTCATTATGATGATTATTTTAAATAACAATTACTCCCATTCATTGAGTGCCTACTGTTGTGTCAGGCATTGGACTAGATATCTTTTTTTTTTTAAGATTTTATTTATTTATTTGAGCAAGAGAGAATGAGAGATAGAGAGCACGAGAGGGAAGAGGGTCAGAGGGAGAAGCAGACTCCCCGCCAAGCAGGGAGCCCGATGCGGGACTCGATCCTAGGACTCCAGGATCATGACCTGAGCCGAAGGCAGTGGCTTAACCAACTGAGCCACCCAGGCTCCCTGGACTAGATATCTTAACAGGTCAGTTTTTAAACTCTATATTATGCCGAAATTATGGATAAAAAAAAAATAAGACCCAAGGAAATAAGGTAATGTATTGAGGCCCATAAAGCTAATAAGTGCTGAATTAAAATTTGAACTCAAGTCTGACTCCAGAGTCCTTGCTCTTTTTTTTTAAAGATTTGATTTATTTATTTGAGGGAGAGAGAGAGTGGGTGAGCAAGAGTGAGCATGAGTGGGGGGAGGAGCAGAGGGAGAGGAAGAAGCAGACTCCCCGCTGAGCAGGGACCGACCCCCCCCCCCCGATGAGGGGCTCAATCCCGGGACTCTGGGATCATGACCTGAGCCAAAGGCAGATGCTGAACCGACTGAGCCACCCGGGTGCCCCCAGAGTCCTTGCTCTTAACATAATATCATACCTGGATTCGGGTGTTTTGTATCATTTTCCTTCTCTCCCCTTGAATCTGAAGAAGTTGGCCTCTTGGCCACAAGCAGGACCATGCTCATATCCATCACAGACATTAAGATTGAGGGGAAAGGATTTCAAGCTATATTACAAAGCTGTCATCATCAAGACAGTATGGTACTGGCACAAAAACAGACACATAGATCAATGGAACAGAATAGAGACCCCAGAAGTGGACCCACAACTCTATGGTCAACTAATCTTCAACAAAGCAGGAAAGACTATCCAATGGAAAAATGACAGTCTCTTCAACAAATGGTGTTGGGAAGACTGGACTGCATCAAGCAGAAGAATGAAACTGGATCACTTTTCCTACATCATACACAAAAATAAATTTAAAATGGATGAAAGACCTAAATGTGAGATAAGAAACCATCAAAATCCTAGAGGAGAACACAGGCAGAAGCCTCTTTGACCTCAGCTGCAGCAACTTCTTATTAGACATGTCACTGGAGGCAAGGGAAACAAAAGCAAAAATGAACTATTGGGACTTCATCAAGATAAAAAGCTACTGCACAGCAAAGGAAACAGTCAACAAAACTAAAAGGCAGCCTATGGAATAGGAGAAGATATTTGCAAATAACATATCTGATAAAAGGCTAGTATCCCAAATCTATAAAGAACTTATCAAACTCAACACCCAAAAAAACCAAATAATCCAGTTAAGAAATGGACAGAAGACATGAATAGACACTTTTCCAAAGAAGACATCCAGATGGCTAACAGACACATGAAAAGATGCTCAACATCACTCATCATCAGGGAAATACAAATCAAAACCATGATGAGATACTACCTCACACCTGTCAGAACGGCTAAAATCAACAACCCAAGAAACAACGGGTGTTGGTGAGGATGCAGAGAAAGGGGAACCTTCTTGCACTGTTGGTGGGAATGCAGACTGGTGCAGCCACTCTAAGAATAGTTTGGAAGGTCCTCAAAAACTTAAAAATGTAACTACCTTACAATCCAGCAATTGCACTACTAGGTATTTACCCAAAGGGTACAAAAATACAGATTCAAAGGGGTATGTGCATCCTGATGTTTAGAGCAGCATTATCAACAATAGCCAAACTATGGGGAGACCCCAAATGTCCATCAACTGATGAGTGGATAAAGAAGATGTGGGTTCTATATCTATATATATACACAATGGAATATTACTCAGCCACCAAAATGAATGAGATCTTGCCATTTGCAATGACGTGGATGGAGCTAGAGTGTATTATGTTAAGTGAAATAAGTCAGTCAGAGAAAGACAAATACCATATGGTCTCACCTGTATGTGGAATTTAAGAAAGAAAACAGATGAGCATAGGGGAAGGAGGAAAAGGAATAAGGAGAGAGGGAAACAAGCCATAAGAGACTCTTTACAATAGAGGACAAACTGAGGGTTGATGGAGGGAGGTGGGTGGGGGATGGGATAGATGGTTGATGGGTATTAAAGAGGGCACTTGTGATGAGCACTGGGTGTTGTATATAAGTGATGAATCACTGAATTCTACTCTAGAAACCAATTTTGCACTATATGTTCACTAACTAAAATTTAAATAAATTAAAAAAAAAAAAAGATTGAGGGGCAAAATTGTCCCACTTTGCCAAATGCATGTAGGAGAGGGCACTGAGGGTTGGGATGGGATATTGATGGAGAGGCTTTGGGGCCTCCACCAGGTATTGACACTCTTGGCTTGTCTTTTCCCTTTCACTCTCCTTTGGAATGTCCTTTTATTCCTGTTCCCTAATATCTTATTTTAAAATTGAACCCAATATGGGGCACCTGGGTGGCTCAGTCAGTTAAGCGTCCAACTCTTGATTTTGGCCCAGGTCATGATCTCAGTGTTGTGAGCTCAAGCCCCACATGGGCTCTGTACTGCTGAGCATGGAGTCTGCTTAAGATTCTCTCTCTCCCTCTCCCCCTGCTCCCCCTCCCCTTCTCTAAAAAAATAAATAAATAAAATTTTAAAATAAAATAAAATTGAACTTAGTAGAGAAGTAAGTCTTTGAAAAGGTACCCTTGTTTTGCTCTTTGGCTGGTTCCTGACTTACCCTTCATTGTGTACCTTCGCACTGCTGATTTTGAGGTGGAGCAGAGAACACAGGCATTACCTATCACGTGGAAAGGTGACTGTTTGCTTTTGTAATGCTCTTTGTCTCTGTCCCCTGTCTGTGTAATGACTCTAACCATGTTGCTTCAGCCAACTGTTTGGCATAATCATATTTTCTGTTGCAGTTCTAATTCCTGGAGCCACAGAACATATAGCCCTGCTGAACACTATCTCAAAGGGCTCTGCAACTCAGGCCCTACTTTTCTAGGGTTGGACCCATGTGGTGGCTACTTTTACCTTTCAGAAAACAGACCCAGATTCCAAGGGTACCTCCAGGAAGTCCTTCTCCCCTTGCTTTTATAACTAAATTAACTTTCCCTAATTTTCATCTCATTTTGCTTTTGCTGACATAAATGATTCTTTCCTCTCTATAGTAACCCAACTATTTCATGACTTTTTATTTATCTTAGAGGTCTCAAACTAAGAAGCCTAAAGGACCAGCCAGGAGAAGCAATGAGAGAAGACAGCAGGGTGTAAGTGCACATGTATATATTTTGTGAATGGTGGGGACTGGGATGAACTGGAGAGCACTGGTCTCCTAAGACACTGGAAGGCAAGCAAGTCCCATCTGCAGGCCACCTCTGAGCCACTAGTTGGCAATCTCTGTTTTTCCTTCCATGCCACAGTGCAAAAATTAGATTACTTTTACTGTCACAATAGCCCAAGAGTATTGGGATTAATTATTTCTAAATTTCTCACCACTGTGAGATTACATGCAATCTAATCCTTGGTGCAAATAATTCAGAAAGGACCCTTTGCACCTTAAACAGATCTCCAAGGTGATGTCAGAGCTGCCCAGGTAATGGTCATATCAGTGGGAAGAATAGTTGCTAAGGGCTTTCTCCAGGCTCCAACACTTCTTGGTTCTCAGTTTTCCTCTCGTATTTCCATTGCAGATCAGAGCCTTAAGATAATTAATTTTCAACAAGCTGAGTATGTGAGTCCTCCAAATTTATCTAATGAGTGCTGTATATAAAGATAATATTTTACAGTGCCTGACCAGTGTCTAGCTATACTTTAAAAATAACCACGGGGTGGGGGGTGCGTGGGGCACCTAGGTAGCTCAGTTGGTTGGGCCTCTGCCGCTTGGTTTCGGTTTAAGTCATGGTCTCCAGGTCCTGGGATCGAGCCCCATGTTGGGCTCTGAGCTCAGCGTGGAGTCTGCTTATCCCTTGCCCTCTGCTCCTCCCCCTGCTCGCTTGCTCTCTCTCTCAAATAAATAAAATCTTTTTAAAAAAATAAAAATTAAGAAAATAAACGATGGGGTATCTGCCTGGCTCACTCGATAAAACATGCAACCCTTGATCTCCGAGCTGTGAGTTTGAGCCCTATGTTGGGCACAGAGTTTATTTAAAATAAATAAATAAATAAATAAAAATAAATAAATAATAAAACTCTTCAGTTCATAGGTTTGGTCTTTCCAATCTGTGATTTGTCCTCACCTCTGGGTCTGCAATTCAAAGGCACATTGCCTTGAAGGCATTAGTTCTCTTTAACAATGTATAATCTAACATTTTAGATTACAGTTAACCTTTGGTATCAGAGCCAATTCATGATTCCAATTTCTTTCTCTTTACTCTCTCTCCCACCCACCCCCACTCACACCTCCTCCCCAAACATGTGCACCCCTCACCTTTCTCCACCTGCTCCCCTCATCACCCCCATTCCCCATTCTTTTTTAGGATGGATTCTTGAATGGGGCTTGGGCATGGAAAGTGTTTGGTATTGTGTTTGAGAAAGTTGCACCAGAGAAAATGAGAAAGAAACACAGGAAGAAGGAAATTGGGAAAGAAAAAAAGGGGGGGGCGGCAGAAGCAAATGTTGAAAAGAGCTTTCTGTCTTGTGGTTAAGGTTCACTCCAAGTCCTACAGCAGAGACACCCCCCACTCAGTCTCCCATCCCTCTGATCCACAATCAAATCTGCATCTTTCTTATCTTTCTTACTCTGTTCTCTGGTCCTAAAGACTAATTAGAGGAAAAGTTCAGCATCAAAAAGACCTAGATCCCCATGGTAGCTCTGTCACTTACAAGCCGTTGACCTTGGCTAAGTCAGTTGCTTCAGTCTGTCTGAGATTTCCTTATCGACAAGCTGGATGTAACAGCACAGCATCCTACCGGTGCCCGAAGACGGAGTGAGATGTCACATGTGAAAACTGTAGTATGCTGATCAAAGATGAGGCATTACTATTATTATCCCTGAATCCAGTGCTGCAGATGTTATGGCGTGTGGTCATCTTTTCACCAAATGTCCTTAGATTTCTTGGAGAAGGGAGTGGGTGTTACGTCTGGGACAACAGTGAGGCAGAACTTTATGTTTTAGGAGGGAAGCTGGCATTTAAAAATTGCCTTACATTGCTACTTCTAAGACATCATGAGGATACAAAATCACTTGGGAGCATACCTTCTCTGTTCTGGAATGAGCCATTTGAGTGAATCCTTTTAGTTATGTAAACATAGTAAGAGTAAGCATCCATTATTCTGGGACAAGGTGCAACAGTTGTTTTTGTAGCTTGGGGCTTCAATTCTGCAGGCAGATGGGGTCTTGTTACCGAAGTGAATGATTCAGAAGGAGGGCATATGCCCAGAAGGTTCCATCAGAATTGAGCTCTGAGCTTTTATTCCGTGGTTATCTGGATGGAGGCCAGCTCTCATCTCACTTGAACAAGGAAGCATGTGGCCCAGGTGATGCTAGCACACATCTTATGACAATGAGGGACTTCTGCCTGAGGATAAAACCAACATAGCAGAACGCAGAGTTGAGAGATTTTAGAGAAACTGAACTGGAACTCTGAGAGCACTGTGCCTGAAGCCCACATTGGTCTTAACAGTTACATGAGGCAATGACTCACCCTTATTTTCTAAGCCAGTTTGTGTTGGGCTTTAGAGTACTAGATACTGATGCCAAAGTCATCCGAAATAAAAGTTTCTGGAGAAAGTGCGGGCATGTTACATACTGTTTAGTGAGCTTACTGAAAAGAAGACGCCAAGTCTCCTCATCTTTCCTGCTGAGGTTCCCAGTTAGAAGCATGCCTCTGATGGGCTGAGGCAGGCTGCCTAAGATAGCTGATGGGAGGGCCACTGCTGGAGGGGGGTGTCAACAACAAGGCCTAACTTGTCATAAGGGAAGGAAGGCTGGAGTGGTCCTAGCATGGGGATGTAGATGAAGCTATCTCTAGGTTGATGGACATGACTATGATCCATGATTATGCATAAGTTCAGTTTTAGTAGATGCTGCCAAACCATCTTCCAAAGCAGATTTACCAGTCTGCACATTCAACATCAATGTTTGAAAGTTCTCAGAGCTTTTTACTTTTACTTGGCTCACAGGCTAATAAACGAGGTATTCTGACTTTAATGGACACAGCAGTTTCCAAACGGCAAATATGAAGGTTGCTGCCAGAATAGGACATACTAAGAAAGGTATACACATACACAGAAACATACAAAAGCATAATAATTCAAGTAGCAGAGCAATTTGGGGTGATGATTTAAAGGTAAATACATTTCAATTATCTTAAAGTTATAAAACGTGTGAGTATAACCCAAGGGCCGGAGTAACTGCTGGTTCTAAACTGTTCTCCATGAAATAGGAATAGCTCAGCACTCTGTCAAAATGTCTCTTCATTATATCTAGGGGCTGGAGGAGGCAGTGTGTGGTGTGTGCACGGTGTGTGTGTGTGTGTGTGTGTGTGTGTGTGTGATGGTGAAGGGGTGGTTGTTTTCTACACAAGTAGCAGCCAGTTAAAAATATTCCATTACATTAAATTATTTAGTAAATGTGGATGAAACAGGCAGTAAGATTTCATAAGATCTCCACTAATGTTTGGTAATCGTTAATTGTTGCTTGAAAGAATGTTTCAGTTATCTGAAAAAGTAATTACATTAGGCTTAGCTAACCTGTGGCACCAACTTGTAAGACCTGAAGGGTTTATTTGGAAATAGTAGAGAGACTTGATATACATTTAACTGACATAATATTCTCATTTATGTATTTACTGAAGACAAACATTCAGACTGACAAAACTCTGCAGGCTCATTCAAGTAATACCTCATTTAGTCCTATCCTATATGACCTTTCATGGGTTCCATCCTTGGAGTAGGGGTGACAACCCCATGAATTGATTCCTTTGTTCCCAATTTAATGTCATGCACCTCCTACTGTGTAGGCTTCCACAGATGCTCGATTGGTGGTATTATCATCTGTCAGTACTATCTGCCAGCCTTCGGAAGCTAATGGACAGACCTCAGGCTTCTTCTGTGGGCTTGCTTCTGCTCTCGATGTGATCATTTCCAGCAATTCACATCTGCATCCATTCACAGACATCTTGTGGCAGAGACTCCTAGCTACCTAGCCAGCGTCTGTTCTCACCCTGCTCCTGAACAGATTTTGTCAAGGGAAGCAGTGTGTCCTGATTAAACCGAACATTCCCAGGCTCCCTTGCACATAGGGGGTAGCCACATGACTAAGTTCTTGTTATTGAGATATAAGTGAAGTTGTTGGATGGAGCTTCTGGGAAAGCTTTTTAAAAACCATACTGACTATGGGCATCTGGGTGGCTCAGTCAGTCAAGTGTTTTTGACTCTTGGTTTTAGCTCAGGTCACGATCCCAGGGTCCTGGGATTGAGCCCTGAGTTGGCTCCGCGCTGAGCAGGGAGTCTGCTTGAGAGCCTCTGCCCTTCCCCCCCACTCATTGCTCACTCTTTCTCCCCGCCATAATAAATAAATAAATCTTAAAAAAAAAAAAAAAAACCTTACTGACTCAACCATTGGACACCATTTTTACTTGGCTTTTCTTTCTTTCTGCTTCCACGAGCACAGTGTGATAGCTGGAGCTCTAGCAGCTATCTTATGAACATGAGGATAAGGGTTACATGCTAGGATGATGTCCTTGCACTGCCACATCAGCTCTGGACTGCCTACTCTGGAATTCTCATTCTGTGAGAAAAATTAATTCCCATATTACATAAACCACTGCTTCTCTGGTTTCTATTACTCACACAGTCAAATGCAATTCTGGTATTCTAAATAGTCATTCAGTATAATCCTTTATTTGATTTGTTCAATATTTTACAATTGTCTTTGAACAGAAGCCATACAACTGAGATGGGTACAACTCATTCAGGTTCCCTGGCCTGGATATTAAAAGATTAAGCTTTAAAGGTTCCACCATGCCGAATTATGCACTATGAAACCAGGAAGTGAGTGGCAGGGCAGGTCCTCCTACTCCAAGGTAGTATTGGGAGGTCCACAGGGTAGAATCAAAGGTTGAGTCCTAAGAGTTATCACAACATAGCTCTCAGCCTGTTGTCACGGCAGCAAGGAGTGAGCCGTGGCAATACATTGGAACAAACAGGAGGCTCCCTCCTGCCTCTACACTGGATCTTGTAGGCCTCCCTGTTTAATCGGGCCTGCTGAATCTCAAGATCTTCTGGCAGGTGTAAATTATTCTGTAATCAGCCCATGGACACCTTC